TTGCTTCTTGTCCTCCCCCCGGGTGCTTTGGAGAATAGCTTGACTCCCTCTTCTTTGGGGCAGCCCCCGAGATACTGGAATACTGCTAACCCTAGTCTTTCTTTTCATTAAACTAGACATAACCAACGCAACCGTTCTTCCTATGTTTTAGCCTCCAGTCCCCTAATCCTCTTGGTTGCTCTTCTCTGCACTCTTTCCAGAGTCTCAACATCTTTTTTTACATCCTGGCGACTAAAACCGGATGCAGGATTCCAAGGGTGGCCTTAACTTAACAAGGCCTAATAAAGTGGTAGTAACACTCCACATGATCCTGATTCTATCCATTTGTTTATGCAACCCAGAACTTGTGTTGGCTTTTCTCGCAGCTGATGTAAACTGCTGGCTTGTATTTTAAAGGGTTGCCTACTAGGGCTCCAAGATCCCTCTCCCCAGTTACTACTGTTAGAAGCACAGGAAGTCGGTTTGACTTCACAGAGCCCCCGTGGAGGACAGATGTCCTAGAATAGAGACACACAAGGTTTTAGGTTTTATAACCTAATTCAAAATTGGTTCATTTAAAATGCCAAAAATTGAGTCTGGGAACGCCACACGCTTTAAAGTACTGCCAAAAATAAAAAATTAAAACAAATTTCCAAAATTAAAAAACAAAACAAACCCAAATGCAGAGAGTTCTCGAACTTTTTAGAATCACGGCTGAGTTCAAATGTTCCATTGCAGGACAGGGGTTCAGTGAGCTGCGCCTCGTTTTATGACCGTCTTGGTTTTTAAATGAATCACACGGCCGTTAAGCGAAACGGGCTTCTCCCATTGATTTTCTTTGTTAGAAGCCAGCTGGGAAGGTTACGAAACGGTGATTATATGACCCCAGAACAGAGCATTAAGACATGCCAGTTGCCAATCACTCAAATTTTGATGACAGGCAGTCCTCGGCATATGACCACAACGGAGCCCAAATCTTCTGTTGCAAAGTGAAACAGTCGCTAAGTGAATTTTCCCCTGTTCTACAACCTTTCTTGCTATTGTTGTTACGTGAATCACCGTGGTTGTTAAGTCAGTAACATGGTCGCTAAGCGAATCTAGCTACCCCACTGACTTTGCTTGTGTCATGCCCCCTTTGGCGTCTGAATCTGAGGAGGAAGACGAACAGCTGACAGGGAGAAGGGAGTGTGGCTCCGTTGGCTGTGGAGGAAACTGGGGAAGGGCAAAGTCCGGCTGGGCAGAGCAGGGGAGAGGTAGAACAAGGGAGAGGGAGTTCAGAGGAAAACCTAGGCCCACCCACTCTTCATCCTAGGGCACGCAGGGAGGAACGGAGAAGGGAGCAACGTGGGTTGCATGGCTTACGGGGGAGGAAAGGGCCCTGATTCCCTTCATTAGCCATACCTGGGAATGAAAGTTTAAGAGAGATGCAAGCTGAGAGCGGCATCTGCTGGGAACAAACGTCAGTTTATCTTGTGTTGACTTTGGTTGTCTGTGTTCCTGGTGTCTTCCCAACCGTGTTGAATTTACTGCCGTGCCTTCACGTCTGAAATTCTTGCTCCTGCCCTGCCGGACTAATTACCTCATTTTGCCTTGATTGGACTTATAGTTATAGTTTTTGTTGACCATGTTTTGGACTTGATTCTCTGCAGCCAAAGGCTGTTTCCTGGAAGAGTTTTTCTCCAACCCAGAAGGTAACCAGGACATTGGGGGCAAAGTTGGAGCTAAGAAACGGATTCCTACTGACTATCTGACTGTGCGGGCTTTGTGCCACGCCCCGTTGGGTCATCACAGCTTTGTCACAAGGTCGCCAAAGGGGATTATCACGGAACCCGGGGACCCTGCAACCTTTATAAATATGAGTCAGTTGCCAAGCATTCAACTCAGTTCAATCCTTTGTGCGAATGATATAACAAGCTGCAAATGGATTTTTATAATAGCATCTCTGCTTGTTTCCGGACACCTGTGGCGTTTCTATTCCCACCCCTGCCAAGAAAGATGGTTTACCTGCATCAAGGTACGGAGAGACTCCACGTAGGACTGCTCTGTGTCCAACAGGGTCATGGTGACATGCTTCCGCATATCCTGCAACGAAGAACAGAGGGGCATTAAAAGATCATCTGTCTCGCCGCACGTACGCCGTGTCCTTCTCTGGGGTGCAAATGATCCTCACCGTTTCGTGTTGGGACGGACACCATGGAGGGAAGCGATGACCCTCCCACCGCTCTGTCCAGGTCTGGACCTGATCTGCTGTCCCAGACGCCGCCCGGCCCAAACATACGTGCGGGTTATATTTATAGATAAATATAAATAAATATGAGATCGGAAGGGCGACATTTACAAGCCACTGACAGCCTGTCCCAAAAGAAATCCTGCGGGATTGAGATGGTCGTCAAACGTCCGAATGGTAGAACGACACGGGGCGCATAGTTTTATTTGGTTTGTTCGATAGATAGAGCTAGTCCTCGACTTACGACGACTTGCTTGCTAAGCAAGACGTTTGTGAAGGGTGTTTCGACAGGGTAGTCCTTGACTTACAACAACGACTGGTCCCCAAATGTTCGACTGCTAAGCGAGACATTTGTGAGGTAAATTTTGCCCCCTTTTTACAACCTTTTGGCCACCGTCGTTAAAGGAATCCCCGGAGTTGTGACGTCAGTAAGTGAATCCGGCTTTCTCCACCGCCACCCCCAGTTGCCTTGGCCTGTTGGAAGGTCGCAAAAGGGGATCTCGTGACCCCGGGAACACTCCTGCGACCTTCGTAAATGTGGGCCAGCTGCCATGCGTCTCCCAATTTGGATCAAATTTGACTAAGGGGATGAGGCAACGGCCGTAAGGGTGAAAAAAACGGTCGTAATTTGCTTTTTTTCTGGCACCGTTGTCATTTCAAACGGTCACTAAGCAAACGGCCGTAAGTTGAGGACAGCCTGCAAGGCTGCCCACCTCATCATCAGGTGACAGAAGGAAGGCGTCCATTTTCTTTGGCCTTCAACTTTTCTCCCTCAGCCTCAAGGTCACCACAAGCGGCTTCCCTCTTTTCCATTACGGACTACAAAGCCCAGTGTAGGTGGGCACTGTAGTCCACAGCCGCCTGATCTGGTAGCTCTCCAGGGCCCTCGTCCCCTCCCCGACCTTTTGAAAAGATCATTTTTAATATAAGCACTTAAATTGGAATTTGGCCTGCCCCCCCCCCAACCCCCCCAGCATGAGATGTATTTGCTATTTATATTCCATAAAAGTCCCCTTGGCGTGGGAGCGAGCAGTGTGTGGATTTACTTATTAGGTG